CCGGAAAATTTCCCTTATTTTCAAATCCAAAACTTGACAGGTATGGTCATGCAGTCAAAATTAGAGAATGGTTAAAACATTTTTTTAGATGAAGCCTACAAATAAAACTTGTATTTACTTCTTGACAAAATGAAAAGAATCTTTATTCTTTAAACTTGCTGATTAAAGCCTTTATTCACTTAGAATTACTTCAACATCTTCTGACTAGGGACAGCTGTTTGAGTCAATGTTCAAGTCATTTAGGATTGTAAAACAGTGTTTATTAAGAGCAACATGGGGATCCAAATGGGAAGGTAGGAATGGCAAGATGACGAGGCTACAGGAGGGCAGAGTGACAGTGGGGGGGGGTTGTGCTCAGCCATGGTTCCCTACGAGTTTCTGCAGCGGAGCCAGAAGAACATCAGCGTTCCTCTGCTCACTCTCAGGCGTGTAGAGCCGCCGCTCCTGGATGTAGCGGAGGACTGGGTCGTTTATCAGGTATTGGGCACTGTAGCCAGGCAGCATCCGTTGGCGGGTGTATGTGCTCGACACGTCCACGCCTACCCAGTCGCGCACCACGTAGATGTTGCGGTAGTGTGGCCAGAGGAGGTCGGAGCCCCGAATAATGGCCTCCGGATTAGATTTATAGTGGGCCATGCACACCAGTCCAAAGTTGCTGACGATCTCCTCGATGTGCTCAGGTTTCCACAGCCCCGGCACCACAAAGGAGTCCAGCAGTTCAGCATCACAGAGTAGCATCAACCGCGGCTCGTCTGAGGAGGCAGCGGAATCATCAGCATTAAATGATGCAGTTTAATAATAAGTTTTATTTATATAGCGCCTTTCATACACTCAAGGACACTTTACAAAAACACATTTAACAAGGCAGGCAAGTTACATACAAGATGAATAATATTCATTGAATAGATATGTTTTTAATAGGAGCTTAAAATGGATAACAGGATTTTTCCTTACGGAGACTAAGAGGAAGAGCATTCCAAAAGTTAGGAGCTGTTACACTAAATGCTCTGCCACCCATAGTTGATAACTTGTGCTTAGGTACAGTGAGTAAGTCTGCATCGGATGATCTTAATGCACGGGGAGGAGTGCACGGAAAGAGCAGCTCAGAGAGATAATGAGGGGCTAAACCATGAAGGGCTTTGAAGGTGATGAGGATAATTTTATATTTGATTCTTGAAGAGACTGGCAACCAATCATGGAGGACAGGAGTAATGTGAGCAGATTTTTAGTGTGCGCAAGTAGAGGGGCAGCAGAGTTCTGAACATACTGTGGTAATCTAATGATATGTTTATTAGGGAGGCCATAAAATAATGCATTAGAATAGTCCAGACGGGTAGTGATGAATGCATGGATTAGTGAAATAGTGTAGTAAGGGGAAGCTTTGATTGTTACCTGTTTTTTGAGGTGTCCCCTTGGGTGCAGTCTCCGCCTCCTCCAGCTTCCTCCTCTTGGTGGCACTGCTGGCATCCATGCGTTTTCTCTTCCTGCCAGCCTTTGTAGTGCCCACCACATCAGTGTCCGGTTCCTGGGAGAGCAGTTCCTGCCGGTGATGCCTGGGAACAGATGTTAAAGATCAGTTCAGCCAACAGGGGGTGTAACGGTCAAAGGAAAGGACTCATAGCTGAAAGATGGGGCCCTTCTTTCACCGTTAGGGCGAGCTCACCGTAGCACTTTGACTGTCTCCAGCCATTCGGCCTGCCTGCTCTCCCAGCTGTCCACCTCAATCCAGCTGTGGTTCTCTACCGCCAGCTTGGCCATTTCCACCCGATGGCTGGCCTCGATCAGGCCCTTCTTGTTGTAGCCATCAGCCACTGGTGATATGATCCCCTTCACAACTTCATAATGTCCTGGGGAAGCCAAGCACAGCACAGGTGTCCTATGTTGAGTATGGTTCATGCTTTTTAACAAAGTAAGTTTCACATTTAAACTTTGTGGAGCTAAAAGTTAGCATGGCACGCTATGAACCAGTAAAGGGGCTGGGTATGTCACACTTAATGTTCCCATTAAAAATGACAACTTTTTGTATAAAAAATGAAGTTGGCATAAGCATTTTGTTAGTAGCTTATGACAGGCCAGTGCACCATGTATGACGGCTAGCAGGCGGAGTACCTTTGGTCTGCAGGTGCTCACGTGCTCCTTCAAACATGCACAGTTTCGTATTTGTGACTGGGTTGTATGAGCCACAAGACAGCAGCACCACATTGGTTTTCTTTGGTACCTGCAGAAAATGCATTGGGAAACGTTACAAAATGACACTACATGTAGTCACATGCAGTTTTCTGAATGGGCAGAAGGACAGGGTCCAGTGACAGCACCAGTCTGCTAGTGACCTTCCAACTATCAGCCTAAGGTCTTAACCCAGTGAGTGATACACCAAAACAAGCCAGATGCTTCAGCTTCTTACTCTAAGTTCTCAGTTTTATAATAATATTTCAGTACTTAATCCAACAATAATCTGTAATACTCCATTGAATATTTCCCTCAACACAACAGAAATCTGTTTATAGATAAGGATGTAATGCACCACACTACTGAGCAACCTTAAATTATGCATTTCAGTTGCGATCCAAATTACAGCACGAGCGACATTTTTGTGATTTTCAAAGTGACTGCTTATCCTAATTAGCAGTTATCGTGAACATGAATCGAACAGACGTAGTTTCATCGCATATCTCATATAAAACAAAATAAAAGCTCTAACGCTTTACTACCAGAACATCAATCAAAGCGGAAGATAATAGGTCTTGTTCGCTTTTTGCCCAAACGTGATACAAGCCCGCATGAACCGATCATCTCCAGTTGTAATCAACACATGTACAGCACTCCGTGTATTTAAGCACTCGGGCAACAAAATACCTCATCAAAGCTCCGCGCAGTGTGAGCGCGCTTAGCGCTAGCGATGGGACGTTTCCGAGACATTGTACTTGACCAGCAATTACAATGTGACTGACGACACTGGAAGCTTGGAACACGTGCACGCACTTTTGAACCCAGCTCCAGTAAACCACGCCCACAGTCGTGTGACGAACTTAACTGCGTGTGCGGACGAATCAAAAAGACATCGAAGCTTGTACCACTCTCATTAAGTTCTGACGTATTGTTTCGAAGCTCGTATGGACAGCAATTACCATGTGACTGATGACGTTGGAAGCTTCGAAGTTCTAGAACGCGTGTACGCAATTTCCAAACCTAGCTCCATTAAAGCATGCCCACATTCCAGTGACGAAATCTTGGCCGCAATCAAGCACAGGGATGCGCAGACGAAGAAGCAATGGAATGGAGCCAACGTTGAAATTTGGTGCAGCAAACGAATTGCATGTTATTCAATCACTATTATTACTAGGGCTGTTTCAAATACATAAAACAAAATGCATCGATACTGAACCTAACTTTTCATGTTTTTTTTCAAACAATATATACATGTTATACGAATATCCAAAAACAAGGCAGCACAGAAGACATATAAGATCATAAAAGACTTTCAAATTATGCATTTTTGTTTTACTCTTTTTCATTTCTTTGACACATCTATGTTTTCATCCCTGGTAGCTGGTTTTAAGTTTGGTATGTAATATATCGACTGAGTTCCTTGTACCTCGTTTATTTCTATCATTAAAAATGATTTTGCGGTTAAAAAAAAAAGCATTTGTAACCCCTCATGTGTCTGCGTTGTGGTTTTCACTTAAAGAACGAAGGGACGTGGGGCCATGCAGCGGTTTTATTCACCTGGCACGAATAACACAAGGTTGGGAGCAGGGTTCGAATTACGGGGGAGCTAAGGGGAGCTCGGCTCCCCTGAAAAGGACCTGGGCTCCCCTGAAAGC